GTTTGTGCTATAATAAAACTACCATCACTCCACCTTCATAGCAAAAGAAAAAATGAGCAGACCATTTACATATTGTGTTCAATCAAAAACCATAGAAACACAAGCCTCCAAGTCTCAAGTCAGTGCCACAGTGAGGTTGCAGCGGGCCCTGGGAAAAGCCTGCCTCCTGCAGAGAAAGGCCACATGACCAGGGCTCCTCCACGCCTGCCCTTTGACCACTTCCTTCGAGAGCTTTCTCCGTCAATGAGGGTTTCTTGCTTCTTCTCTGTAGTCGGGGGATGTTGGGGTAAACAAGAGTTTCTGTGACACTTTTGTCTTTCTAGCATTTCCCCACAGAAAAGATATGGGTCCACCTTCTGCCACTCTGAAGGGGTATTAGCCTTCTCTTTTTGTTAAACCTGTTCCCAAAAATCTCCCATAAAAGGCTCCAGTATTAAAATACGTCTCAATGACGTGAATCAGGCCAATTATACTGTGTACTGCCCTTAGCAGACAGAGGAAGGCTGATCTCCTTCCCTCTCATTATAACCTGATGAGCTGGGGGACTTGTATGGGTTCCTGCCCTCTCTTCCCCCCTATGACCTAGTCTTCCCCACAGTAAACACAGCCAAACCCTTGAATTTATGCAGAAATAATATTTTGTAACTCTCCTGTCATACTCTTTTTTTTTCATTCGTTCTCTCTGCAGCTTGTCACATCTTTCTTTAAAGTGTGGTTATAAGCCCTGGATAGAGTAACACTCTGGCAGAGACCTTATCATTATGGATCAGAGCATGTTAAATACTTCTGGTGTCTTGCACATGACATTCCTGCCAGTGAATCCAAGAATGGGAGTTGCCTCTTCTGCAGCAGCATCACATACACATTTTTAGTTTGTGAATCACAGCAATCGCTGAATCATTTTCCACTCTACTGATGACTTACTGTTAGTTCTCCACTGTCCATTTCTGTATTCACACCTTATGACTAAAGGAAGCTTTTTGAATTTCTGTTTACTGAGCGACCTGCAGAACTTGGATTGGTTCTGCACTGGTCATAACAATTTAAAATGGTATCCCTGTCCTCCAATGCACTTGCATCCCTTCCCAGTTTGTTTTCATATATGTATGGCAAAAAAAAAAAAAAAAAGGTTTTCAGTTCCATCCTACTAGTTGCTTAGCATGACCAAACCTATGGTAAATCCCTACTGAAAGTTATTTGAAACACATCCATGTTTGAAAAAAAAAGAAAAAAAACACATCTCTATGCATGTACACATCCACCTATGAGCTAGGTGTCTAGGCTGCTGTTAGAGTGGGTGGAGGCTAGAGAGCTATTCTGCTTATCCCCCAGTGGGCAATGAGTGGTAAGGTGAATTTGTGGGCTGGACTGTACAGTGGTGCCCTCAGGGCAGCCATGAAGTGCTGGCAGATCTGACACAAGACCTATGGGATGTCCACTCTCCTTTAAAGTGGCAGCTGAAGGTCAGCCAGGAGGCGTTTCAGATGGTACTTGATGTCTTTATGTGGGCAACTGCACTGAGTCCTAGATTTCCTCCCTACAAAGGAGGCTTAGATGCCTAGATTATACATAGACAACTATATGGTAAACAAGAGACATTCCTACGCACAAATCTGAGGATGAATTTTGTCCTACCTATCTTCATTTTTGCTTAGGGGAATGCCATCTAAGCAGTGTGAAAAGCCAGATGAAAGTCAAAGTAAATCATGTTTGTTGTTATCCCCTAGGCTACTTATTTAGTCAACGACTGAAATGAGATTGGTTTGACATGGTTCTTGATAAGCCCATGATTGCTGGCTTTCAATCACTGTATTATCTTTTGGATGCTTCAGGGTCATTTGCCTAATAACTTTGCTTAATAACTTGTTCTAAGCACCAAAGTTACATTCCCTGAGTTCTAGCTCCTTGGACTCTTCTCCACCTTCTAAAAATGTGTGTCATATTTGCAATTTTACACATCTCTAAGGCATCCCATAAGCTCCTGAAGATGATTGCAAAAAATCAAAATTGCATCAGCAAGTATTCCAGTATTTTCTGTTTGAATGATTCTACTTAACTAAATGTTGGTTAGACTCTTCTTTGAAAATACAGCCTGCATTTCTAAATATCTACTCTTAATTAACCTAATTTTGTGAGTGAGGCTGCTGAATGCTTCGATCCTCATTGCCCTTTGCCTTTGTGAGCTTCTGGACTTCTGCGTTCACTTGTTCTCCGCTTGTTTTCCCTGTATTCCTCAAGGTCCTCCCTGCTCCTTGCTGTTTGTAACACATTTTACGGCTTGGCCATTCTGAATTTAATATTGCTTATTGTGGATGTGAGGAGCAGTGGAGAAAGATTGTTTTTCCTTCCTGCAGACCAGATGCTGGATTCAGTTACTATTAATATTATCTGACAACAGTATTGAAAACCAATGATGTCAGGTTTTGGCTTTAGTGTACCAGTGCTGTATTGCTGCTTGATTACTTTAGCCTTATGCATAAAATGGCCCATGATTGCTTTTTTGCAGGCTGTTTTGAACTAGTCTTTATGTAACAACAGATGATATGAGGCAAAATTGAAGGATACAAGCAATACCCCATGTATAATCATCTTTAATCTTGCGTCTATGCTTCCAACATCTGCTTTCAGGTCACTGACATAATTTTGCTATCATTTTTTCTTTTGTACTCACCTCGAATAAGAATCTGGACATTTAAAGGATGGCTATTATGACCTAAAAAGGGTCATATTAGAAAAATTATTTGGTTTTGTTGCAGGGTGAATGTTTGTTGGTTTGGGTTTTTAAAATTTTGGTCAATTCCAAAGGTTTATTGAAATTATAGAATTTCTGGACTCACTGAGAATGTCTAACAGCAAAAGGAAGATACATTTGCTAATGGCAAGTAGCCCATCATTCAGCATGGTTGTGATTAAAGCTTAAAATGGTCTTGGATGCAATCTTTTGAACTCCAAATTATGGCTCACATGACAGATTGATGCAGAAAATGTTTACACTTCATTATGCTGTAAGATGATGGATAAGCTCACAACTGCATTTGATCAGTGAAGTGTAGGAACAGGTCAGATGAAGTAGCAGATGGAGCAGGTTGAGAAATGAGGATGGAAAGTTAATTGTGGCCAAGATTAATTTCCTTTATTTGACTATGTGGGAGAAGGGTTTGAAATTGTTTTGAAGGTGTTTCTAATTTCAGAAGACAATAAAAGTATTTAGCTCTCCACGTGACTTTAGGCACTAAATTTAATCTATAGATTTCAAAGCACAAACACAGCTGTTAATCTTCTTGCTTGTCTTTGGAAGGAGAGGCTCAGACAATTTAGTGAACTGTCACTTCACCCCAAGTTGTCTGCAGCAGGTTCAATGCAGAGTCCAACTGCCCCCAGTTAGCACATCCTCAGACCTCAAACCAGGCACAGAAAGCCAGCTCTTCTCTTAATATCCTTGGAGAAAATTATAAATGGAATCTGTTTTTCCTGGATAATCTTTTTGAGTCTCCAGCGAATGGGCGGGATTGCATACTGTGTGTGGGAATACAACCTCCAATGAGGTGCCATATCTGGACATCTGGTTTGTCAGGATCTTAGAATCACACACAAGCACCTGGCATGAAATCATCTTTGTGTACCTGCTGCATGTAGAACATGTAGCCATTTGCTGAAAAGTATAGTGAAAAAATACTGATAATTCCCGTTAGCTAGGTGTAAACCAAATAATTTCTGTGCTTTTTTGCTCAATTATGCATTGCCTTCTTCTTTCTCTTATGCATTGCAAGGGTTCCTGCATGCTCTTCGTGTTCCTGCAAGCTCTTCATGCTCTGCTCCATAACTACATGTGCAGTGTCCAGTCATCCCAAGCAGTCTCCAGTCCTCTGTAGCTTGTAATCTCCTATGCTTTTTAGAAATCACTGACTAATTTCTTTCTCATGGAAGTCAAAGGTCAAAATCCTGTAGGCTCCGTTGAGGCCAGTGTTTTTTCCCTGTGTCTCCGCAGTCATTAAGAAGAAGCTATTTGACTTTTAGGTGTGTTATCATTCTGAATAAGCTGCCAAAAGAAAGGGAAAATTAACAGGTTTTCAGTCATTTTAGTTCTTCAGCAAATCTGGAGTTGTAGACAGACCTTTTAGTTTTCTCAGTATGTGTCCTGTCAGTTTGTCTCCTCTTGTGAGGGTCCAATTATGTACACGTTGCAGTCATATTATAAACCAGCCATTTCACAAAATAACTGATTTCAAGAGGTAATTGAACCATATTAAAAATACCATTTGCTGTATTTACAAATCCTGACAGCTAACAAGGGCACTCACAGAGCAGACGGACATCTCTTTAACTAGTGTTTACCAATTTGGGGTACTTCACTGAAAAAGAGATTTTTGAGAAGGGATTTTTTACACAGGGCTAGCTGTATGCTGATGTTAAGAAGGAGCATGGCTTTTCTTGAGTAACACGGTCAGATGTAGTCTTAATTGTGGCAATTAAATAGCAAATCTCCTGGCACTTAGTAGTGGTGCAAACTGGCAGATAGTACTTATTACATCAAAGTAACTGCAATTGGTGTGGGGCACACATCCTGCAGACATTACATAGGCAAAATGGCAACAGAGTAAATAGGAATTTTGGCTGAGCTGTGCCTCTTGTCATCACATGGCTTAGAAATCTGAAAATCTAAGGCTTGATTCCAATTATTCACACTCATGATCTGAATGGGAAAATAAATGAACACGTAAATAAGGGTATCTTCTTATATAATTCTAACTTCTCTGTACACTTCAGGTTCTGTCCCTTTAAATAAAAAATTTAAGAAAATATTCATATTATTACTGTATCTAATCCCAAATTCTTAAAATTTATTGAAATAAGGTAGTATTATTCTTGTAATAGCATCATATAACAGTTGACAACACTGTCATTATATGATGTAATTACATCACAGAACATAATAACCTATAGGATGTAATATATGTGATGCAACTGTCTTACCTACTTCTTTTAGGACACTTTTCACCCAGAGTTTTATCAACACACCTCACAAAGAAGAGTGGCATTAACATTGCTATTATAATTACTGTTATCGGTAGCCAACAAGAAATGTGCACGTCTGCACAGTGCAGATGAACCCAATCAGTGTATGTGTACAGAACAGAAATGCCTGTAAATATTAATCTGAAATATTATTTCAATGACACATTACATTTCACATCAGCACAACTGAAGCTCTTTTTAGAAGGGTTTAGAGGAAATTATTTTCTACCAGTTTATTCACTCAGTACAAATGACTGGAGAAAAGGACAATGACCGTGAAACTAGCATTAATTTTCACATATAATTGATCATTTAATTGTAGTAGTCTTTCATGAAGATAAATAATCACTAGTTGATACAGAATTGTACTCAAGATTTACAGAGTAAACACCCATCACATTTTAGATATCACACAATAGCCCATGCTATAATTATCAGTTCATCATTAGTATTGTTAAACATATCACGTAGACACTGGAAATCAATCCCAAAATACCAAAACCTCAAGCAGCATCCTAATTGAAATAAAACAACCTTCATATTCAGGTTATTGACTAATTTAAAATTAGCCTATATAGCCAGAACTCTAGTTCTACATTTAAAACAGAAGCACGATCCAATGTTTTGGGATAAACCCTCATGTTGTTGCGAAGAAAAAACTGTCAAGATAATAAAACATGGGAAGTAACAGAGAGGTGAACTCCAGCAGTTCTGCTAGACTATGTTATTAATTTTGGATTAGGTGTGAGTGATGGATTTAACATTTACACTAGAGATCAGAATGGAAGGGTTCCTTCCAATTCTTCTTTATCAAAAATTGCCCCCCTTTATGACCTCTCTGAAGAAAGATATGTGAACAATTTATGGCTAAACTATATGATGTTCCTGAAGCTCAGGCAAATAACTAAGGTTGTTGGCAATGATAAGGTGCAGCACACCGTAGATAAATCTTCTCTGTTGGGAGTTTATCACCATTTTTCAAAGAATAGTAGAAAAATCTTTATCAAAACTGGGACTATATTTGAGAGCAGAGCAAGTGATTACCTTGGTTAGCCAAAATCTTGCCCATAGTGCAGTTGGTAACCATCTGCCTTTGTACTATTTGTCTGTAGCTCTGGCTGTGCCTGACCTACATGTGACACTTCTGAGCAGATGTGCATCAGGATACAACAGATGAGAGAATGCCAGCCCCTGCCAAAAGGACTCCACACATATTGGGAAGGATGAATACCAATAAATCAGGATCAGATGGGATGTATTGTACAGCTTTTTTGGGGTAGAGAAATAGTTGAATTATTTTATCTATTAAATGAATCCATAACAGATTTAATAGTAATGTGTCTTCCTCATGTATTTGTCTTAAACAGCGGCACAAAATTTGTGTCCATCCAGGACCTTTTATTTTCAGAGCACTAGAGAATGGAACACAGGTTTGATGCCTGGAAAGTGAGATACACCAAAACAACATTAATTCCATCCTATTACTTCCCACTTACCTTCTATTCATACTTCATTTACCTTGTGTGACTGACTGAAGCATGTTATCAGAATTCACAAGCTCAGAGTATATATTTAAGATATTACAGGAAGTGCATAGGGGAAGGGGAAGAGAATACTTCAAAGGATTCAACATATATGAGCTGAATGCATGTATGTTTGAAGGGGGGCTAACGTAATCTACACGATAGCTAATATAGGAAAAGTGTTATGCTATCAAAAAACATCACATAGAAATAGAGAGAACCATGTGCTCAGCTAGTATTCCCTATATGTCTGATACAAAACAATCTGTAATTCTTCATTTAAATTGCAGGAAATTATACTTTGTGCTAGGCACTTATCCTTTGGATAATATGTGCAATTGGTTGGCCAAGGAGGGTTCATCAGAAAGAGTTTTCGAGGGGCAGACGCACTGGTGTTAATAACAAGAGTTAGGACTATATATGGGACTGAAACTTAAATCTCATCATCTTTTCAATAGTAGTTTTACAGTTCTGCTAAGTTCTTCCTAACACAGTAGGGTCTTTATTACTTGCAATTCCAGAGGGGCAGACTTTGGCCTCTTTAGGAGACTGGTTGACAGAGTCCCTTGGATGGCAATCTTGAAGGGTAAAGGAGTCCAGGAAGGTTAGACACTGTTTGGGAAGGAAATCGTACAGGTGCAGAGGTGGCCCATCCCCATATGCTGAATGATGAGCTGGTGGGGAAGAAAGCTGGTCTGACTGAACAAAATGATTTGGCTGGAACTCAAGAAAAAAAGGAAGAGAAGGGTTTATGGCCTTTGGAACAAGAGGCAGACAACTCAGGAGGCCTGCACAGAGAAGAATCAGAAGGGCCAAAACCCAACCAGAACTTAATCTGGCTACTGCCATAAAAGACAATTAAAAAGGTGTCTATAAATACATCAACAACACAAGGAGGGTTAAGGAGAATCTCCATCCTTTGCTGATGGAGAGGGAAACATAGTGATAAAGGATAAGGAAAAGACTGTGCCTAATGCCTTCTTTACCTGTCTTTAATAGCAAAACTAATTGTTCTCCAGGTACCCAGATCCCTGAGCTGGAAAACAGGGACAGGGAACAGAATGGATCTCCCATAATCCAAGAGGAAATGGTCACCAGATACACCACTTAAAAACACACAAACCTATGAGGCCAGATGGGATCTAATCCAGGGTATAAGGGACCTGATGGAAATGCTCACTGAGCCACTTTCCATCATTTACCAGCTGTCCTGGCTAACCAGGGAGGTTCCAGGTGACTAGAAGTTGGCAAATGTGTCACTCATTTACAAGGGGGGCCGGAAGCAGGATCCAGGGAACTACAGGTCTGACAGCCTGACCCCAGTGATATGGAAGGTTATGAAGCAGATCATCTTGAGGGCCATCATGCTGCACTTACTGGACAACAAGAGAATCAGGCTCAGCCAGCATGGGTTTGTGAAAAGCATGTCCTGCTTGACCAACCTGATCTCCTCCTATGGCAAGGGAACCTTGGGACGAGGGAAAGCTAGAAGGTCTTCTAGGTAACTTGATTTTTAAAGTAAGTAGCAGCAATTTGTAGAACCCAGTAATAAAATTACATCAAAATGACAGTTTTCAAGATGGAGCAAGGAAAAATTATAATGCTTTCTTCTGCACTAATGATTTGAGATGTATAGCTAGACTTTTGGGAATAAGGCTACATAAATTAATATTTTTTTGTGGTTTTTATTGACGCAATCTTCTTGCAGGTTTTCATTATAGCATTTAAGCTTCAAGGTTTCCTTAAAGTCTCAATAGATTAACCTCAGCACTAAGAAAACAGTCCTTTTTTCCCTGGAAGGTTTTTCAGTAGGCTAACTTTTGTCCTGTTAGGACAAACATAGAGCACAGAGAATACACAGGATAAACAATACACACAGAGAAGACAGAGACTTGCCCTAACGCAAAATCTTTGACAGAACCCCAACAACTGCTGTCAAATTGTCTAAATGGTTCTTAGAAAAGTGTGTCGTTCTCGACATTTTATGCCAGACACTAATTCTTGATCTTTAGGTTCAGAGGGTGCAATTCCCCTCACCTAAATGTGGGCATCTACAAAAGAGAGGTCTTTGTCAGAGCAATTTTTTCTTATCAGCAGAGAGAAATGAGCCCTTCTCCCTTGTGATTCATCTTGTCCTGAGGTAATCAACCAAACCAGATCAGATGACTCATGAACTAGAAATGCATGTTTCTATCCATTAGTCTAAGAAGTGAACCCTGGTCTAGCTCAAGTGGAGACATCTACCTGGCAGATGCCTCAGGTTAGGTGAGATGAATGCTATCAAGTGTCTCTCTAGTGTTTCTGTGTCCTTGGTAGAGTAGACAGGAGTAATATGTCATAAAATTATTCAAAACAAGTATTCAAAACAGGATCTTTCCGTGTAATAGTTTGCTACAGGGCACAGTCCATTTCTTTCTGCAAGGAAATAAGGCAGTTTCTCTGGCAGTGATAAAACATAAAGACAGAAGTGGACTCCGTAAAAATTCAGGAATGTAATGAAATTGCACTCTGCTGTTCTAACAAAGGATCTGTCTTTCCACAAATAAGTGAAAGGAAACCATTGCAGCACACTCAGAACAAAGATCCTCCATGCTCCTCTCAGCATTCTGCTTATTTGGTGAGTGGTGTGAGGGGGGGTGTACTCAAGGATTTGTATTATCAGAGCAATCAGGATGAAAAGAAAGAACAATAAGACATTTAAAACTGATAGATAAATTCCAGGTGTATCTTTGAAGAACACTGAAATACTCTATTTCCTTTTGTTTACAGTATATATCCTTTTCTGAAATAGATCTGATGGGAAAAACAGAGCATAACTCCATATTTATTGCATTTCTGGAAATGGGCCTGTATTTATTACTGGCATCTGCTGTTGGTGACAGATCTTGAGTAGAATCCAGAAGTACTGAATAACACTTGGCTTTCTTTATTATGGTAAAAAAAATTGCTTTTTCAGGCTCACTGCAATTAGCAAAGATTGTATTTTGTTCTGCGTGCCCTTTACTAGCAGTAATCCAATATTGAATTGCCTCAGAGGGTCTCAGCAATAACTGGGTCAAATTCTCGCATAACTCTCTCTGCTTGACCTGGAAAATTGACACTACCATAGGAGTGTACAGTATATATGTGTACTGTCGAAACACCATATGTATTTCAATCTTGCACTCAGTTCTTCATTTATTCACCTTCCCTTTATGATTTTTTTGAAGTTTGTTCATATCTCAATTTTTTTCTCAATCTATTTAGCCTCTAGATAAAGACCACTTAGCTGCTAGCAGGAGCAAATTTCATTTTCACGTAGCATTTATACTGAGCATGTTCTAATTAAGTCAGTTAAAGTAGCTATCTGCAATTCAGCATGTCTGAGCAGCTCTCCATTCATCAGTGATCTCCTGTAAACATTTAGGACGTCTTGACCTTGACTAGTTGTGAGTTTAGAAAATGTAACCTGACTGAGATTCACAGGCTGCTTCTTGGCAAGAGGGTGGAGGCATTTTAAGATGCTTCTCCAAGTTGTTTCTAGTCATGAGTGAAAAGAGCCAAGAGGAACAGTGGTAGCTCACGGAGACCATGCTAAGGTCGCATGGCAGGAATGCAGGGTACCAGGAGCCGGAAATCTCTTAGTGGGGTCAGAAACAGAATGTGATATGATGTAGAGTCTCCAACTAATACTCACACAGAAAACTAGGTGAGCCATTTTCCTACTGTGTGAATGAAATATATTCTCACTTGATTTTGCAGAAGTCCAATAATTATCTTCCACCACCTACACCTGCTTTTTTTCTTCTGAGTCTCAGAAGCTGATGCACATACCATCAAGGTTTCCTCATTACCTGTCTGAATGTTTCACTAGTTCTATGCACAACATCCATAAATATTTTCATTTTGGAGAGTCCATACATAAAGTTAGCATTTTAGTAAGGTTTAATATCTAGGCTTTTGAATGAGCAGAATAGGTTATACTGAAAAGTGGGTGGACTGCATGCATGAAACCAGGACAGAGAAGTATTGCCACTCATGTTCCCATGTTTTGCCTAAAGTCCAGAGAGTAAAGCAATCCCTAGAATATGTGAAATCCAGTTCTTATTCCTGTCATAAGCAGAGCAGATCTGATTCTACACTTGTTACCTCCCTGGAGTGCCAAAACACCAAGCTGTGTAACATAAGGATCTCCTGTCAATGCCACTGCTCTTCATAACTAAAAGATTTTTGGGGTAGGAACTGGTTCCCTGGTATTACAAGTCCCAAATGAATGCCCTGACCTATGCTCCATCCATCTTTCTCTCCTGCCTCTGGCTCAATTTATATTTAACCACTGAGCCTTTGTACAAAACAAGCACTACATTCTTTACTTCCTTTCTTGCATTTTGAATGCTGTCTGTACTTTGCACATCATTTCATGAGGGATTAAAATGCTTGAAATAAATTTGCTATGTTTTCTTTCAGCCTGGAGTGATAATTGATATCATTTGCTTCTACAAGAGAATTTTTTTTTATGTTTTAATTTTGGCTCAGGTTTCATAGCTCCTGTTTTTAAATTTTTCAATTTGAGCGATGAACTGAAAAATAATTTATTTTTTTTAAAAATCCCAATTTCTCTTTGTTCTTTTCATTATACTATCTGTTGTCAACTGCCTTGAGGTTTGGTAAGGTTTCAGACACTGAATGTCCTTGCCAGTGGAGACTAAGCTTAATAATTTAACAGCATTTTCAGTGTTCAAAGCCAGGAGAGCTTGAGCTATTAAGCCTGCTAGTT